TATTGCACACAGGGTGCAAATGTCCATAGCTATTATTGCTAACCTTTACACATTATTTACAAATGTTTAAAGCACGGATAAAATATCCATTTGCCTGTGGTTAAATATAGAGTAATATTATAACAATAACTGTATGGGGATAGCCCGTATCATAAAGATTACAATTCTTATGGTATGAAAGATGAAAATGAAATGGTGATGATGAGAACTCCTTAAAATCCTCCTTCCCCCAAGATTATATATCAGAAGTTCACTATCCTTTAAAAACTAACAGATGAAAAATCTCTATACCACAACTATTGTTCTGTCATTTCAGTCATGTCCAACTCTTTGTGACCCTATTTGGGGTTTTCTTTGGTAAAGATACTGGAGTGGTTTGCCATTTCCTCCTCCAGTTCATTTTACAGATGAGGAAGCTGAGGCAAAGAGTTAAGTGACTCACCCAGGGTCACATAGCTAGTAAGTCTCTGAGGCCAGATTCAAACTCAGGCCTTCCTGATTCCAGGCCTGGTGCTCCATTCATCTAACTGCCCTATACCACAAATATATCCTTCAAAACATCCTTGAAAATTCAACAAATAAATTCTACTAGATCCAGAGCATCAATATAGATAAATATTGCCTACAAATGCCTGGACCTAACACTCATTCATAAATTTGAAGAACATATTTACTAGATACTGCTATACTAAAAGACTCATAACCCTAAAAGCACATGGAATGAAAAGCTTTTGAAACAGAGAGACCTAATAGAGGAAATTGAGAACTCTTCGGCAATAGGATGAGGGGCATCTCATGCCTGTTATCTTCACTGCTACTAGAGCGTTTTGCATCTCCCACTGGATTTAACCTCAAGATGTTTCTAGTGAGTCAATGGAAGACAAGCTTGTATCTCTATACTTTTGTCCAATTACAAAAAGTGGTCTTTCTGTTCACCTGCACAATAGCCCAAAGAAATGAAATATTAAAGAATGATAGAAGAATGGCAACTTGTCTTTAGATGGTTTCTTTCTCAGCTCTCAAAATAGATGGGAAGAATGATATAACAATAACAATAATAATAATAAATAATAATAATAATTATTATTATTATACTAACATCTCTTATTTGTATAGTGCTCAAGGTTTGCAAAAGACTTCACAGACATTTTCTCATTTGATCCTCAATCCAGTCCAGATGAGGAAACTGAGCCCCAGAGAAGTTAACTGCCTTTCCAAGGGTCACATAGCTAGTAAAGATCTAGCCAAGGCTGTCTTCAAAACCAGTTTAAAACATTTTACAATTCACATGGATTTACGATGTAAAACTATTTCCTCCTGTTCTTCCTACAATGCAGTTGAGGTAGATTAATTATCTTCCTAGTATCCTTCATTTTCCTGAGCTAAGGAACAGGAATTACATTAATTTTTATTTTAAACTCAGTGGATGATTTGGTATTCTCTGCAGAAGATAATGCAAAAATAATCATGACAGTTTCCGCTTTGTCAGATATAACACACTATATAAAAACATTGAGCCAGAAAACGGTCATTAAGTGTTAAGGACTGGGAGACATTAGTATTTAGATTAATTAACAAATTAAAAATGAAATCATGACCCAATTTTGTCTTTGGATGCATGGGAGTAACATCAACCAATTTTCAGGATAGCATCAACCTTTAAGTTTTTTAAGTGTTTTAGAAGCAATCTCCAACTAGAAGGCTACTTGAAAGGCACCTTTTTTTTTTCTTGGGGTTTCCCTTGAAGTGTTGAGGAATGCAAAGCAGCCCTGGGGGATGTTCACATTTCTTTGCCAGCATTTGATACATTGAGACTCAGTTTTTTAGCATTTGGATGCAGGCAGCAGGGATTAGCTACTTGATGTGAAACTCCTAAAACAAAACAAGCTCTGCCATGTCGGGGAAGGTTTAAGTCAATCTCAAAAAAAAAAAAAAAGTTACATCAGGAGTGCAATGCTGTTTCCAAGGAAATCACTATTGCCCTGGGTTTCCTGGATAGTCATTACAGGAAGCATAAAGATGACACCAGAACTGTTGAGAAAGTCAGCTTTCTGCTGGTTACCCGAGATTGCCAACTGGTGCCAAACCAAAACACACTAGCAAAGGATTGTTTAACTGGATGGTAAGTGCCTGACATCCATGAGATATCGTCTGACTAATATCTCACCTTCTTGAAAGGCATCAGTACCTCCCACCCTTTCTGGAATCATAATGTTAGAAGCAGATGCCATCTGCTTGCTACACAGTCGAAAGGCCATATTTTTCTTTCTTCTGTGAGACTCACTGGGGTGACTTGAAGAGGAGGAAAGAGGTAAGGGCAAGTGTGGGCTGAGCATCTAAGAAGTGTCAACAAGGAGTGTGGGAGACCGAGTTAAGTGAATGACTTCCTTAGGGGGCTCAAATAAAATGCGTCAAACATAATGGATAGGGAGAGGGAGGAAGAAAATACAGGTGGCTAACAGGAGAAATCCCAGGGCTTGAGTTCATTTTTCTGCTTGAAGTGCCTTCAGGGCCCAGCTCAACAGCCACCCCTTTCAAGAGGCTTGTCTTGATTTCACTCAGTGGCTAGCATTTTCTCCACCCTGCCACTAAATAATATCATTTATTTATTTGTCATAAATCCTGTATTCATTTACCTGAAAGCACATTAAATCCCTTCAACAGAATGTAAGCTCCTTCAGGGCAGGAACCATGTGCCTGTTGAGTATTTATATCCCCAGCACATAACATAGGGCCTGCCACATGGGGGCACTTAATAAATATTTGACTGACTTATTGCTGCTGCAAACTAAGGTCAAGCAAAAAAAGGAAGAAATGTGTACAATTTTTTTATGCTCATGTTGACTATTTTAAAAGAGCTTTATTTTGTAGACAAAACAGAGAAAACACGAGCCAGCAAAGGAAAAATGTCGAGAAAATTAGCACGGGATAAGATTTCAATAACATATTCTTTAGGAGGTGTATTATTTATTGGGGTGGGGTAGGGTGGGAGGGAAGTAATATCTAAAGCTCTATTTGTTTCAAAAACATTGTACTTCCCTCCAACAGAGAAAACTGTCAAATTGGTTAAATATTTGATGAAATATTTATTGCTGCCATTAAGAGAGCTCCTGAAGTGATATCTTTTAAATCACAGAAAATTCAACTATAGTTTCTTCTAATTTAAATAAAAGTTATATTTCACTGCTGAGTGCTCATAAACCCTGAATGTTTGTTGCTACCAGCAGTCTAGTTGAGCATGAAAATTTCCAGTGTAAACATATATAGAGCTGCATTAGAAAAACACTGGAATATTTTATGTACTTAACTGGAATGAATTCTAGTAATTCAAGAAGATGGGGCTTAGGTCAGCCATTCTATCATCGACCAGAAGTAGTGATCATATGGTTTGGTGAACGTTAAGAGAACACTTGAGGATATCAGGAAAGAAGATGGGTAGATCAGTACACGTTGCCTTTTAAACCATCTAAAGCCTTGTCCAATCTTCAGTTCCCTATCTTAGAGTTGGTAGGGGAACCTCACCACGTGTCCAGTAATCAATGCATAAGCATTATGTTACTTTGGTATGTGTTTGGAAAAGACAGAAGTCCAGAAATCTGGTTTCAGTCTCTTAACCAAAATCTGACCTTCCTCAGATGACACCACACCCACCTATTTCCACTTCAGCAGAAACTTCCATTTTCTGTTTTGCTACACACAGTGGGTGAGGATGGGTTGATCTGTTCTTTCTTCCCTAAGCATCGCTTCCATTCTACTGATCTGCCATCACCATTCTACTTCTGTTCTTTTAAAGACTAATTTCCCCACTAGGCTCATCTTTCTCCTCCCTACCTTGCCTTGTGCCTTAATCCTCAGGACTTCAACATGATTGTTAAATGATTCATGTGGTACCCTGACCTCCCAGCTCCTCATTCTCTAGGACCCCAGTGATCTTTATCTCCTCCTGCTTCAGTTACAGAGCCATATCTCTGATTTTATTACTGCCTGGCAGTGTTACTGCTTCAAGATCTCAAAACTTGGGGCTCATTAACACCCATAAACCTGCTCTTGGTCCTCATCAAGAACTTCCATTAATCTATTCTTTTAGTTCCTTCTAACTATACTTATCCCTGCCCATTTTAATTCTCTCTTCATAAACCCTCTAGAATCCTTCACTCTTGTTTTTCTTTTTGAGCCCACTTTGCCAAAACTCAACCCTGAATTTGCCTTCATCCTTTTCTCTCTCTCTCTTTCTCTCTCTCTCTCTCTCTTTTTTTTTTGGTTCTGTTTCAAGGGCAAACGGTATGGTTAGAAAAAGTCACAGAACAGCATAGGAGGAATATAAGGAGAAATATGCAAATAATAGCTATTTTTACAGTCTGGGGAAATTAATCTTAGGTAAAGACATAATGGGATTAAAAGGAAAATGGAAAAAAATAAATATTCTTATAAAATTTTTTTTCCTAATTTGTTATCTCATAGTTAACTTTTTTTTTTTTAAAAAAAGGAAACTTCCTTAAATTTACTTTTTCATTAAGACATTATAGAATCTCAGATTGTTTGTGGTAGAAAAAAGAAGTAAATTTGCAGGGATTAAAATGAACCTAATAGTAATCTCTTAACATTAAAAATGATACCATATTTATTGAGCCATATGCTTAATTTGTAGACTGGAATAAAAGGAGCATTAATGCACAGCACATTCCCGGGAAAGGGGAGGAGGACCAAAAGAGTAATCAGTTCAACTCAATGTTAGCTTAGGGCATTTTTCCATGACTGCTGAACCCCTAGCAAATGTCAGGCAGCTAAAGTTACACGGAAATGTGTAAATGATGTTGTTATCTTAGTGATGATCCAGGAAACAAGACAAAAACAAAATTTCTGTGAAGTCTTAACACAAAGTACTTCAATCATTGTATAAATTAACACAAAATACTTCAGTCATTGTATAAATAAATCAATCATTAATACTTGGGTCTTTCCCCCAAAGCAAATGGCACTGATTAAAAAAAAATTCTTACCAATCTCTGTTTCTGTAGCTCTTCTCTGAGAACTCTATCTTCTGGTAAAACATCACATAATAAAAAATAATTGTCCTGCTCCTCTGTTGAGAGATTAGGAAGATAAATGAGAAATATGTATTCTTAATTTTTTTCCTCAAAAGATTTATTTTTAAAAATATGTATCTCTATCAGGACTTATCCTGGCATATAGCTCTGTTTTAGCCTTTTTCAAACTGGGTAAGACAAGTAAAACTATTTAATTTTAGCTGTTATGAAATTAATTTAAAGTACCAAGATTATTACTTTGCATTCTTAGATTGAAAGGAATAGAAAAAAGCTGAGTGGCATACTCACCAAATGGAGCTTTGGAATTGGTTCTTATCACACTACAGAAATCTGTGATAGGCTGCTCAGTGAACCTCTTCTTCCAGTATAAAACATACCTTAAAATAATCCAAAAACAGTGAGTTGCAGGGAGTTTCAATACTGCTTCCTCTAGCACTGGCCCGTACAACCTGTGGTCCATGGGCATGCCAAAGGATTTCGGGTGGCCTGAGAAAAATGCAGAGGATGCCGTTGTGGCCTGCGGGCTGCAGGTTGTACAGGCCTGGTCTAGAGTGATGGGCTTTTAGAAAAATATCTGTTTGCCACAAAGTGACATGTTCATGATGGAATATTACTTGGAAGTTTGTGATAAAAAAGGAATGGCACCATAACATGCAATTTGTGCTACCAAATTTGAAATTAATATTTTATGAAGTAAAATAGTATGGAATGGAAATCATTCAGTTTTACTGGCTTCTCTTTCCACTCTTCATCAGAAACTGTTCTCTCCAAGGTCACTAAATAATGTCCTTATTGCTAAATCCACTGGCCATTTTTCAGTCCTTGTTGTCCCTGACCATTCTGCAATACTAAATACTGTTGGCCATTCCGTCCTTCCTTGGCTTCCATGACACTATACTTTTATGATCTTCTCTTCTATCTTAATTGTCCCTTCTCTGGTCTCCATTGGCTCATTACCCTCCTCTTGTCCTTTAGAGGTTCTTTATTTGCCCCTTTTCTGTCTCTACACTCTCTCCCTTGAAAATTAACATTAACTCATACAGTTTCAAATATCAGTTCTAGGTAGATGTCTCTTAATTCCATATCTAAGCCCTCTTCTGTCCTTTATCTCCAAATATCTGTTGGACATCTATACTTGAATGTGTCTGGCCATTCCCTAACATCTCATACTCAACATACAAAATATTTTTGTGAAGACCTCTCCATTAAACTTAGTACATTCTACCCTGTATCAGTAATTTGGGTAGGTCATATATCTGCCTTGTACTTTTTTCTTTGTTAGGCTGTGAAGTAAGGTTGACCTAAATAAAAGGTGAAATCTAACCACTTGGAACTAGATCCTATATATGAGAAATTTACTAGAATGTATACTGATTTTTACACTTATTGTAAAATACACATACAAGCAAACAGATGGGCAAAGAAAGAACAAGAAGGAAAGGGAAGCCCTGTATTCACTATGCTCCCCGACTTCCATCAGACTGGAAACTGTTCAAGGTCAAGATCTCTGTTTTATTTAATCTCTATATCCTCAATGACTAACAAAGAATCTTGCTCATAGTTAAGCACTGAATATCTTATTGAATTCACTCTATGTTAATAACTGCTATTGAATTCAGAGTGTTAGGTTTAGTTCTTGTCACCATATTCTGGGAAGGTTATTGATAGTCTGGAGAGTATCCATAAGAGGGAAATTAGAATGATTAAGGCCCTTAAGTTTATGTCATGTGAGAACTGGTTTAACAAAATGGCTTGGGATGTTTATCCTAGAGAAAACTGAGGGGGAACATGATAGCTTGCACATGGAGAAGGAATTAGATTTGTTCTGCTTGGTCCCAGACTGTAGAACTGGAAACAGTATGGGGAAATTGCAATGAGCTAGGCTTGATGTAAAGAAGAGCCTCCAGAGGTCAAGGCTAGCTGTTCTTGGGAGATCTTCATGCAAAGTCTGGATGCCTTCAATCTGCATAGATATGGGGAAAGGTCAATTGAGATATTCCTATGGTACATTCAAAGCTTTTCTGAAGTGATATTTTAAGTGTGATGTCAATGTATAACCCAGCATCTATTAAACAGGCTAGATTTCATATTCTCCAATAAAACTGAGTATTGGGTGATTATCAGTTGTATAGAGAATTGTAAAATCATGTAATAGGAATTCAGTTGTTAATTTCACTTTTTATAACAACACAGTAACAGTCTACATGTACAGTTCGGGTCTAAATAAGGCAAACTGAATGGTGGGAGCAAGACAGACAAGGTTACAACTCTCTCGATGAATGTAATGAGCAGAGTTAGTTGCTGCACACTGGCTAAATTTAAAAGCTTAACATCCAGACCTCCATTTCTGATGAGAGAGGGGGAAAGATGACAGGAGTCAGTGATCTGTTCATCTTCCCATTTATCTAACAAGATTTATGGTGCCAATTGGAAACTCATTTGTCAAATGATACAAGGAGAGATTGTCGTTGCCTTCCCAGGGAGAAAGGAAATGGAAAGGTTGGCTTCATGTGCAGCAGTTAAGCTATCTACAGACACAGCTGATGGATAAAAGAGAAACTTACAACAAAAGACCAGACCCTATAACAGTGATAGGTGTCAATAAAAAAAGATAAAGGAGAAATACATTTGTGTGTCTGCATATTTGAGACAAATGTATATATAAATACAACATCCAGTCCAGATATAATCAAAAATTAAGAGACCTGACAGATTTTATTAATTTGTATTCGGTTCTTTGTATTCCTCCTGTACCAGTAGGACTGTGTTCTGTATACTAGCTGCTGTGAGCAGATTGTGAGTTCCTTGGGGCAGGACTGTTTTTCACCTTCCTTTGTATTTCCAATACTTAGCACGGTGCCTGGTACTTAATAAATATTTATTGACTGAGTGCTCCAAAAAACAATGGTTATAGTATAAGTAGTGATATAAGGGTAAAGGTCTGTTGCACCTTTTTTTTTTTCACTATTCTGCAAGATTTTCCAAGCAGTATCTTCCTTATCCCAATAATAATTTGCCTTCTGTTATTTTATTTTTTCCCCTTTTTTCCTTAACATTTTCCTATCTTCAATTATCAGATATCTTGAAGTGTTACCAAAAAGGTGTTAATAGTTAAAAGAGAAGTCAGAGAACTTTATTCTCAATACTAGTTGGGAAATCTCAATACCCATATCTGCTGAAAATTTACTAGTTAGCTGCATGTGGTAACTATGCTAGGAGCTTTACAGAACAAATAGGTCTAGTAAGTCTATTAGGCCCGCTGCCTAATAGATAAATATAATTCAGAAAAAAAAGATATATAAAGGAGCACAGAATCATAGATTTAAAGGTGGAAGGGAACTGAGAAACCATCTAGTCCAGGCTGTTCCTTGTTACAGATGAAGAAACTGAGACCTAGAGAAATTAAGTGATTTGTTCAAGATCTCATGGGAAGAAAGTGTCAAGGATGGAATCTGAACCCAGTTCTCCTGGACTCTACAGTCAGACCTCTATCTACTATATCATGTTGCCATTCCAAAGGCAAAACAGACAAAAGGACAACAATAGTACCTACCAGTGTTTGCTGTTGTTTAGCCGTTTTCAGTTGTGTCCAACTCTTTGTGACCTCACTAAGGGTCTTCCTGGCAAAAATACTGGAGTGGTTTGCCATTTCCTTCTCCAGCTCATTTTATAGATGAGGAAACTGAGTCAAGCAGGGTTAAGTGACTTGCCCAGGTTCACGTAGGTAGTAAACATCTGAGGTCAGATTTGAACCCATGAAGATGAGTCTTCCTGACTCCAGGCCTGACACTCTATCCAATGCACCACCTAACTGCTCTATAGTAGTACAGTACATGTACTAAATAAGTAAATGAATATTTAAAGTATTAAATGAAACAATAGTGACACATTTACATAGAATCTTAAGATTTACAAAGCACTCTACTCACAATAACCCACCAAGTTGTGCATTACAAGTATTGCTATCCCTATTTTACAGAGGAGGAAACTGAGTCTTTGGAGAGCATAAATGACATGACCGTGGTCCAATGGTCAGTATCTGGAAATCTGAGTTAGGGACGGTGAGAACTGGAACTGAGGGCACCAAATTCCAAGTCTAGTACCTTTTTGACTTGCTTCTCAATAAATGACATATTTCATAGCCTCCTTTTCTCATGCTGAGAGCCCTGCTTAATCCTTCCTTACAGCAATGAAATATGGAACCTCCTAAGATAACTGAGAGTAAGCCTCATATGATACATCTCAGTCCCTTGGCTTGTTTTGGATGCACAATGTGGGGGAACTACAAAAATGCTATTTGAAATGTTGCTCACAGACAGCACCAGCAACCTTTTCATCCTTCATACCAGAGTTCTATCAGGGACTGAACACAGCATTTTGACAAATATACTGGAGAGCAAAGCAAGGGGAGAGGAATCCAAACCAGGCTGGAGAGCTGATCCCACAGCAATCTTGAGACGCCATCTCATCTGGAAATACCACCTATATTTCCCTTCCCCCATCCCTTTCCACCCTGGAAGGGGAAACAGACAGGAAAAATCAAGGGAAGAGAGGAGAGAACATCAGAAGAACAAAAACAATGTTCCACTAAAACCCTGCTACATCAAACCCTATTTCACTGACCAATTGTTGATAGGTGCCTCAGGACTTGTCAAAATACATCGAGTGAGGGGCAAAGTCAAGACAACTGAGGGGTAGAAGAAATGCCAGGACTTCCACTCTACCAACTTCCCCAAACTGATCTAGAAAATGTACCAGATCAAACCCTGATGGGGATATCCAGAAAAAGTCATAGTTATTTTCCTAGCTGAGCTTGGCATCAGGAGACAGACAGGGGGTCTAAGGACATTGGAGACTCAGTGGGCCAGGAGTGGATGAAGTACTATAACATTTGGGAAGAGACTGTGTACTAGGGAAGGAGGAAGTCGCAAAACTCTACTGGGGACTCCCTGACTCATAGCGGGCACTGCAACAGGACAGGTACCAACTGATACTTTTGTTGCCCACTGTCCAGTTCTGGATCATAGATCCAGGGGCAGACTGAGAAGTCTTGCTCAGGGCAGTGGTATTCCTGATTAAGGAGGTCATGGGTGAAGTACCGAGAAAGCGCAAAGTTCAGAAGCCGACAGAAGCAATAGTTCAGACCCTCAGGAAGCGAGCAGGGTCTTAATGAAAGCATCTGCTGAGGAATAACCAAGGCAGGAATCTCAAACCATAGATAAGCCTATAATTCTGCCACTCTGAGCCAACAAAGCTTTCCACCTGGCTGATAGGGCCTGAATCTAGTATGTGTCTACTTGTGTACAGACCAAACCCAGGTAATGAACTTGCAGAGCTCAAACCAGATCACTCTGGGAACAGTGAAAGCTGGCCGGTCCCCACAAACCACATCACTCTGGGAACAGTGAAAGCTGGCCGGTCCCCAGCTTATCCTTAAGATCCTACAAAACACAATACTCAGTACCTCAAGAAAGCAGTAACAGGACCAGCACAGTCTTTTCTCAGAAGTGTGGCAAAGCCCAGCCCTAACATCAAGTCCAAGTAAAGACGCAGACTGGAAGAATGGACGAACAAGAAAAGAACCCCATCATAATGAACTATTAGAGTTGCAGGGATGCTTAAGATGCAAAAGCAGAAAAAGAGAATAACTCCAAAAATCTGCAAGCAATGCCTCAGAAAAAACAACAACAAAACAATTTGGATACAGACTCTACCAGAATTCCTGGAAAAGATGAAGCAAGAGTTAATTTGGGGAAAAAAAATGTAATTAGAGTGCTTGAGGAAAAATTGGAGAAGAAATGAAAGCTATGAAAGAAAGAATTGGAAAGGGAATTAATAGCTTGGAACACGAAATATAAAACCATGCTTAAGAAACAAACTCCCCCCAGATTAGTTAACCAAATAGAAGCCAATGATTCCATGAGGCAACAAGAAACATTTTAGCAAAGTCAAAAGGCTGAACAAAATATAAAATTTAAGGTATCTCATAACAAAAATAACTGACCTAAAAAAATATTGAGGAGAAAAAAAATTAAAAAAATCATTGGATTACCTGAATGCCAGGGAAAAAAAAAAAAAGCCTACACATATTTTTAAAAATCTTAAAAGAAAACTGCCCAGATCTTAGAACCAGAGATCAAAGTGGAAATTAAAAGAATTCACTGATCATCTTCTGAAAGAAACCCTAAAATGAAAATTCCCAGGAGAATCATAGCCAAAATCCAGAGAAAAGATACTATAAATAGCCAGAAATAAAGAATTTAGAAGCCACAGTTACAATCATACATGATTTAGTAGCCACCACTATAAAGGAGAGAACGCATAATACTGATATTTTAGAAGGCAAGAATAAGGTGGAGTGGAAGGATGAGATCTTGGCTGACTAAAACAAATTATATTAAGGAAAAAAATACCAGATAGAAACTTCCCAAGACACATGGGCACCTATTTTCCAGGGCAGGTAAAGGCATATTAACAACTTATTTTGGTGTTGTACAAGATTAGTTAACTGTAAAACAAGGTTTTAGTATTTGTTATACCACTGGGTAAGTCAGTTAAATGTAGAAGAGTTTGATTTCTTAAGTATAAAAATTGATGATGATTCTACCTGCCTTTGCTAAGGTGCTAATCACATCGATATCCAAAGGAACTCTGAAAGTCTCAGCATTATTCTAAAGGGGAAAAATTATTTGCCATTAATCCATCTTCCTCCTTCAGAATGAGTTATTAGGAGCCAGTACTGAAAACAATAATTGGTAATAAATTATAACTTAACTGGTAACTTTTAGAGTCTTCACTTCTCACCAGAAGGTCAGTACCAAGGACTTTAAAAGGGGGAAGTTCAAAATATAAGAGAGGCAGTGAAGAGAAGGTGAAGCTAAGTAGCATAGCTGATAGAGTGCTGAGCCTGGAGTCAGGGAGACCTGAGTTCAAATTCGACCTCAGACACTTACCAGCTATGTGACCCTGGGCAAGTTTGCCCTGTTTGCCTCAGTTCCTTATCTGTAAAATGAGCTAGAGAAGGAAATGGCAGACCACTCCAGAATCTCTGCCACAAAAACCCCCTAAAAGGGGTCACAAAGAGTTGCACATGAATGAAACGAGGGAACAATGGCAAAAGTGTTGAGAAGTGGAAAACCCTCTCTAGGTCAAAAAACCCAAGTTATAGTCTCAGCTCTGCCACAAACTATGGGATTTGAGGCCCCAGTCACCTAAACCTTTAAGGGCTTCAGTTTCCTTGTCTATAAAATAATAGATGCGGACTAGATATTCGAGTTGTTTTCTAGCTCTAACATTCTATGACCTGTGAGTATCTTTCACAGACTTGCCAATAGAAACATAAGCCCGTATTCTGTTAATGCTATTGTCTGTGCATGTACACATCAGTGGAAATGTCTGATGAATGAAAAAGGCGTGGAAAAATGAAGCATGGCTGTTCTTTGAATCTTTGAATCTCCTTTTTTTTCTATTTTTTTTTCCTTAAGAAAGCACTCAGGTTATCACACAAAAGCAAAATCTTGTGCTCTCTATTCAAAGTGTCAAAGGAGCACTTGACCACTCTCTAGGGGCACATAAAGGTCAACCCATAGTACATGAGGTGATACCAATTAATAAATAGTGGGAATGGAGTCCAAATTAAATGGGCCTCTACGCAATGACAAAAACTTTTCATTAACTACATATTATAATATAGGTATTAGTCATAGGAGACTAACAATTTCCTTGTAAAGGGAATATGTTTAAGGAAAGAGATGACCATTCCCGGTAGATTTGAATTAGACATGCCTCTCTTTGCTGCGCTTCTCATTTAATTAAAAAGACTGAAAATTAATTAATAAAAAAAAGATTGGCAATGTTGAGAATTTTGGTACCAAAATCAAAGAAGATATCAACTGGTCAGCAATGTAGCCATATAAAACAGATCGTTAAAATTAAAATTTCCTCTTAAAATCAAGCACTGTCCATTTTCATTTCCTATTTTACTCCTGATATGTTCACTTTCTGAATGGCTGCATCATGTGGGTGACTGAACCTAATAGTTATTTCTAGACTCCTGAGCAAGGAGGCCTATTGAATAATTAATGTGTGATTATGTACCTCCCCTCTGCCCCCATTGATAAAAAGATCAATAATCTTGATAAAGAATTAGAGAAATAGATAAGAATGGATCCAATTTCTTAACTACTATATATAGGCATAGAAGTAAAGACGCAAACCTTGATTAAGACCTGGGGTTATGGATTTTTGGGAGAGAAGAGAGGGAAAAGTTTTGTGTTACTCAACAGACCAGCTGCTGAATGATTAGCTGTTTCTGTAAATTCCAAGGGAATTTCACATCAGCAGGACAGAGAAAAGGAGAAGACAGAATAATTTCACACAAATGGAAAAGCTAACCATAGTGAGAATTAGAAAAGAATGGCATACTTATCTGATGGTTTTCTAAAGTAATAACTGTTATGTCATTAATGCAGATGAGAGTTTTAACCTTTTACCTTGAAAAGAAAAACCATAAACATCAAAAGTTTAGGTTTGATTACAAAAAACAAGATACTGCACATGAGGAAATTACTAGAATGTGTGCTATGTTTCTACATTTACTGAAAGGAGAGGAGAGATGGGGAAGAAAAGAGGTACAGAGGGAGTGAGAGAAAGAGAGAGAGGGAATATGACCAAGACCAGACAGAGACAAAGAGACATATACAGATGGAAAAAGGTACAGATGCAGAGATGGAGAGGAACAGAGAAAGAGATAGAGAAAGTGAGAATAAGGGATTGAAAAATAAGTGGTACAGATAGAAATGAAGAAAAAGCAACCCTTCAGAAAGTACCATATATCCAGAAGATGCCCAATAAACATTTGTTGCTAATGCTGAAAGTGGGATTAGAAATGATATTTAAGGGGGGGAGTGGGAAGGAAGGAAGGGAGAGAATTTGGAACTCAAAGTTTCAAAAACGAATGTTAAAAATTGTTTTTACATGTAACTGGGGAAAAATAAAATACTAAATTAAAAAAAAAGAAATAATGTTTAATAATTCAAAGGACAGCACCCAAGACTACAGCTAAGCAGGTAATTCCTATTCTTCAGCACAAGTTGCAATGTGTTTGTAAGACATTTGACTGGTTCTCAAAACATACTTTTCCATAAAAATGATTTAATGGTGGTTAGCACTCTAGGCACAACATACAAAAGCCTATTTTACTCATCATTTGTGTAGAGGCAACTCATCATAAGGGATAGAGTAATCTTAAGTTATTCATAAGTTAAATGCTCATAAGTCAGGGACAATCTGCACTATGAAATATACCCGATCCACCCCAACTAGGAAAGAACTCCCAACAGGAAGATGGACTCCAGCAGACAGATGGCTTCAAATAGCAACATGTGTAAAGAGTGTGACAAAGGGAGTATTACCAGCTGGTGGGTAAGTTTCCTCATTTTAAGGGTTATCATAGAGTAATACATAGTCAGTAATACAAACAAACATACACTCTAGTAAGCAATGGAGTACAAAGATAACAAATACTAAACAACTGGAAACTTCAAAGGGAATGGCCACCATTTACCTTGACTATATTCAATTTATGTAAATATACACATATACATATATGCACACAAAGAGCCTTTTTCTTCCAAAGAGAATCAATTTCATTCCTACATGAAATGAAAGGAAATGTACCTTCGGAAATCAGCAACCAGCTTGACATCAGCTATGACAATCTTGTGTTCAATAATCATGTGCTTCAGAAGTTTGTCTTGTTCAGCCACGGGAAAATGTTCTTCGCAGAAGATACAAGGCACAGATGGGGAACCTTCTAAAGTGGTGATGCCACCTGGACTTTCTGGCAGAGAAAGAGGCTCCAAGATACAATCCCTACTGTCTGGGGGAGAAAAAAAGAAGAAAAGCTGAACATAACTCTTAGGATTGATGATTTTTTCACCTCATGAATTAAAATAACCCTAAAGATAAGTTGATCTGGCAATAAAAGGGGATAGGGGGAAGACTGAGTGAATGAGAGAGGGGACTTTTTATTATATAGAGCTCTCTTAACTGAAAGGAGGGGCACAGTGCATGGCTGGCTCAAACCTCCTGGGCTGTGCTTGTTGGCTTGAGTGGGGGAAGCCCATTTGCTTGGGCAGCTGTCCAAGGTTTCTTCTTGGCAGGGGGCCAATGGCAGCAATCCCAGGGGCGCACCTGGAGGGGGAAGGCTGTTTATTGCTGAGTTAGGGTTGTGAGGCCCAATTGTGACCCAGGGATGAGAGTCATGAAGGCAAGGGAAGGAAACTCGATATTCTAAGGATGCAGATGCTAGGCAGGTCCTTTAAGCTGCTTCCTCCTGCACCTGCAGTTCACTTCCTGATTGCACTTATTTGCCATGCAACAAACAGGGGAAAACCCTTGTACTGAGCTGGGGTTCCTATTCATGCAGAATATTCCACCCAGCTGACAGGTTTCAATGTTGATTTATGCCTATCTGTTACTTGCTGAATTATCATGCATCATCATTATAAGATGTGCACTGTATGTAGTGGAGATTTTTCCATCTTGCTTGAGACATAGTGTCTCCAACTACTGTCTATTTGAGAGATGAGGGAAACTAGCTGAGAGCAGAGGACACCAAATTGGAAACCAGGAAATGGGGCTTTGCGCGGGGATAGACAGCAGGAACTCCTTAGTAGCAGTGCCTATCAGTGCTAGGCTGGAAGTCCAGGTCTGCTACCCTTGTGCTGAATACAGAGTATTTAGTAACCAGGCAACCAGAAAGAAATGTTTGGCATCTTAGCGAGTGCAAAGTACCTATATACCCTGGAGGCAAAATAGTGTTTCCATAGACAATAGGCTCTGGAATTGGATTAATCTTACTTTCCCTCTCTTTCAGCCCCACCAGCAATGAATAGCTTACTAATAACTTGTCCAACAGCACATAGTCAGAGATTATCCTCTGGCAAATATTCCATTGAAAAGATAGACGCTAGTCCCTTTTGGAGAGAGAGAAATAACAATTTTAATAATGTGTGGTGATTCCCACTATTCTGAATAGTGATGAGCTAGAGATGGGATGTGAAAAATAGCTAGCATTTATCTAGAGCTTTAAAGTTTGTGAAGCACTTTACAAATATTATCTCATTTTATCTTCATAACGACCCTGGGAGGTGTGTGTTCTTATTATTTCCATTTTGCATATGAAGAAACTGAGGCATACAGAGCTTAAGGGACTTGTCCAGGATCACATGTCTAGTACATGTCTGAGGTAGGATTAGAACTGAAGTCTTCTTGACTCTAAGTCTACTGCTCCATCCACCTAGCTACCATGAATTTGCAGTTCCCTCAGTGGTCGAAATTCCTAGGTAGCTCTTATGGTACCTTTCCACCTTTGATGATGAATCCAGAATTTTTCTCTTCATCATACTCACAGAAAGTCTCTTCATTCTGTTTAGGTTCATAGAGCTAACCAGAAGAGAGTTCACTTTGGTTGGTCTTCATAGCAATCCTAGGCAACTAGCAAGATCCCTGCTGAGTTCCCTATGACTCTTTTGGGCCCTCTCTGAATTTCTGGTACAGCAGGATAAAGAAATTCCATTTCAATTCAATTCAGTAAACATTCATCAAACACCTACTATGTGCCAGTCCTCCTGACTTTTGTCTTCTGACTGGACTTCAATGACTCTGAAAGAGAGTAAGGCTGACAATTTTGTGCAACTCTGCTTCACAAATCCAATTCACAGACGAGTCAAGACATCCCCTGTGACATCATTGGCTCTCTTTGAAAACAATGTGTCAGACACAGTTATGTGGTGGTGTGTGCACAATCTAATATAAATACTATGTAAAACCCTTTTAAGAATTTTTTCTCCCTTTATCATAAGTCTTGCTGTAAGCTAAGTCTTTACCTGTTTCTGTTTTCCTCTCTTTGAGCAGAAGTCCTGATTCCCTGCTCTCTACAGATCATAGTTTAGCTAGGCACTTTGCAAAAGTAAAGCTTATAGTCAACTTTTTCTATACCATCTATATGAGGTTCTTCTGCCCTCTGAAATACTTTTTTTTTTAAAAGAGAACCCAGCCCTTTTGCAGCTATAATTCTTTAAAGATACTCTATTTCTTAATGGGTAATTTAAGGGATTTTTCAAGGATGATTTTGAACAGAAACATGGCATGGTGGACAGAGCCAGTTTTAGGGGCTCAAATCTTGCCTTTGGCACATATAGTCTGAGAGACCAAGAATAAGTCACTTAAATTCTCAGTGCCCCAGGCAATTCTCCAAGAGTAAACTGGATAATACTTATATGCATTGGTAGATGAGAGTTTCCTGACTGGGAGTACCCTATAACAATGAAATTGCAGGTCTGAACTCCAAAATTCTGACCAAATAGATTTTTTTGCTCCACCTCCCCGCCCCCAACAAGATTTCTGCTTGTACATGCCCTGTCATAGGTTATAACCATTTTGAAGGCAGGAACTATGTCTCATTTATACTTACTTGCTTCTTCAGCATATTCTCCCTCCAACAATTCACTGCACACAGTAGGTACTTTAAAAAGTACAGTAAATGTGAATGAACAGATGATACACTTCTATAGAATTAAGGATGTATCATAGACCTGTTATTTAGTCTAGAGTCTGCCAATGAGACTTCTTTGGCAACAGAACTATGTGTCTTCGAACCGTGAAAGAGCTGTGCTATGTGCCAGTTGATTTATTCAGTAAGGTCTTTCTCAGTAAGGTTTTGGCTTCTTTCAAGTAGATGTCTGTGTTAGTGAAGTCATGGCCACATAAATCACCTTTTCATCTTTCATTCTGGCAGGCCATTTGGCACAGGAATAGAATAGTTACCAAAATGCCCAGGTCCCAGGCACAAAGAATTGGGGTCCTCCAAGCAAGCGTATGTAAATCAGTCAGGGCCATAACCATCTTCAAAGTTCCCTTTTGGCTCCAAACCTACTTCACATCCTTCATTGTAAATGAAAAGCGCCAAAGTACCTGCTCTGGTCCTCCTGTTGTGGGGCTGTCTCCTCTGCTGAAAGGCATGGTTAACTAATGCTAACAAAAGGGAAGATGACTTTGTGCTAAGAAAAGCAGCCTGGTATAGTGGAAAGAGCATAGGATTCTGAATCAAGGTGCCTGGTTTCAAATGCCGCTCTGACATTTATCAGCTATGTGACTATACACGCATATCTTAACCTCTCTAGGCCTCAGTTTCCTCAGCTATAAAATGAAGAGGCTGGACTGGATGATTTTTGAAAGTCCTGTCTCAGTCTAGATCCTATAATTATAAAAATTTCCAAATAAAAGAGTGTTTTCCCTTATCACCAGGCAACCAACATACTAATTTACCCTGGAAGGGACAAATTCCTTAGGCAAGAAATGTTTATCCAGTAAACCTCAGGAACATCATATTCATGATCCTAGTATTTATTAAAATGCCTATCCTTGCATGCATGATTCCAGAATTTACCTATACAGCAGCAATGGTAAAAAATAAAATAAAATCAAATCAAAGCTTGTTATTAGTGGAGGTAGAAGGCAATGATTGCTCTTGTTTCAAAGCTATGTGCTTTGAGGACCCTCTCTAATCTAGGTGAGAGAAAAATGTGACTACTAGTAGCGAGCTGGTAAAACCATTTCCTGAGCCCTGTCTCAAAAGACTAGAGGCCACATATAATAACCATAAATAACCTGCATTTATGTAAAGTGTTTACAGTTGCTTTCTTTACATATACCCTGTGAGGTAGGTAGAATGATGACATACTACTCCCCTTTTGGCTTTTGCAACACATGCAGCATTTTCCAAAATCAGAAAAATTTTTCTTAGTTTTCCCCTGCCCTCCACTGGTGGTACAGAATCAATCATTCAGTTAGACCCCAGAAGGGCTAAGAAAAGCACCTCCACCAGAAAACGCATAATTCTATGATTTTAATGCTCTTCTGTCATCTCCATAAAACAGTTTTGTGACAAAAGAAAGAGCATGACCCTATAAAAATGGAGGAAGGAAGATTGCTTTCGGGAGGAAGATTCACAGAATGATAGCTTTAGAGACAGGAGTCTTAGAAATTATCTAGCCCAACCCCTTCAGTTTATAGATAAGAAAACTGAGGTCCCTTGTTCAGGGTCACAGAGGAAAGGACCACAAGGTAGGGCTATAATTTGAACAAGTACTAATTCTCCTGTATTAATAATTGGTTACTGTGTAAAAAGAACTACAGAATGGATGTTAGAACATTGCAGAACCTTAGAGTCAGTCAGTAAGCATTTATTAAGCACCTACTATGTGCCAGGCCCTGTGGCAAGAGCTGGAGATACAATGAAAGTCAAAAGACAGCTGCTGCCTTTGAGGAGCTCACAAGAGCTAGAAGGAATATTATAGATCATCTTGATCATCATTTTACAGATGAGAAAACTGAGGCACTGAGAAATGACTTGCTTTTATTTAGTCATGACCAATCTCCCCTAGCCACAAATGGTCCTTATAAAACACTTAAAAAACATAACCTATATTCTTATGGTATTATTATTTTGTATTTGTGAATGTGCTATATCTCCCTTGCCCCCATGCCTTGCATAACAAATAAATAAATGGATGGTTGGATGGATGGATGGATGGATAAATAAAAGAAAAAGCTTTTATTAAGCACTTATAACATGCTCAGAACTGTGCTAAGTGCTGGGGAGTCCAAATACAGAATGAAGACAGTCCCTCCTGCTCCTAGGGAGCTCACTTTCTAATGGGACAGAGGACACATGTAAAGGAATGGTGGCCAGGGAAGGGCAGAAAGGTTATTAGATTGGTGAGGAGATCCACAGGGGATCAGACTGACACCACATAACCAGTAGCAATGGCAGAAGTAATTCGATTATGGTTCAAAGATCCAGAACTATGGGGG